GATGTATATACAAAAGGTCACATCATAGACAAATTAGAGGATCAAAGAAGAAATAATTTTGTTTATATAAAATTAAAAACTTTTTGAACAGAAAAATCAATGCAATTAAAATTAGAAGGGAAACATTTAATTGGGAAAATATTTTCAATGTTTCTCTGATAAAAGTCTCATTTCTAAGATATATGTGGGCCTGATGCAAATTATGAGAATAAAAACATTCCAGGCCATTTGATGAATGGTTAAAGTCTATGAACAGGTAATTTTTTAAAAAAGAAATCTAAGCTATCAAAACCAATATGAAAATGCTTCAAATCAGAAATTATTAGAAAAATGCAAATTAAAGCAATGCTGAGTTTCACTCTCACACCAATCAGATTGTCAAAGATAAAAAAAGAATAACAAATTTGGGGGATGACGGGTAAGTGACTGTGGGAAAACATATTTTCTACTATTTATAGAGCTGTGAATTAATTGGTCTAGCCATTCTATAAATATAAAATTATTTGTCCAAAAATTATTAAACTGTATGTATCCAACTATACCACTATTTGTTAGGCCTGTATCCCAATGAGATCAAACAAAGAGGAAAAGGACCCATACAAAAATATTTATAGCAGTTGATTTTGAAGGGGCAAAGTTACAAACAATTGGGGAACAGTTGAACAAAATATGGTTTATGAATGTAATGCAACATTATTGTGCTGTAAGAAATGATGAAAGGCATGGCTTCAGAAAAATCTGCTACTACTTGTGTACTGATAACAGAGGGAAGTGAGCAGAACCAGGAGATCAACTCAAATAAGAGCAGCAACATTAAAAATACAAGCTAAAGAATTAACAGCTCTGACCAATGCAGTGACCAGCCATGATTTCAGATGACTTATTGACAGAGAGGTGATGGAAACAAGATGAAGAACCAGGTGTATATTTTTGGCCCTGGTCAGTATGGAGATTTGCTTTGCTTGGAAGTGCATATTTGTTACAAAAGTTTTGTTTTTTCTCCTTTTATTTTTTTTGGAGGGGAGGGGTGTTGAGAGGGACCTTATGTAAACTAACATATAGTAAAGTAAAACCAGAAAAACAACATACATAGTGACTATGCTGTTGTAAATGGAACAACAATAACAACAAATGAAATTATAATTATAACAATGAAGGCTGGCCCCAGAGAAGAAATGAGAAAATATACTTCCTTTCTTTGAAGAAATGGCACACTATGGATACAAAACATTGTGTCTTGAAGATTCATTCATATTCTGTCATGTCAGGTTGATTATAGTTATGCTTAACTGCCCTCTCTCTCTTTCTCTTTCTTTCAAGGACTGGTAGGGCAAAGGGAAGGGTTATATTTAGAAATTAAGGTGGCATAAAAAACCATAGAATATCAATATGTATTTTTAATCCTCCAAAGATTTTTCCCTATGAGTTTATCTTTTATATATACAAATATTCAGCTTAGTCCCTCTTGAAATATTTTAGTTCATTTTATTCCAGTAATGGGCTATTCTGTTGTGTTTTTTTTTGTAGGAATTATAATAAAATCTCACATTGCATACTGTGATCTGTGAAACTTGGTAATGGCAACAGATTACCCAAGGTCAGGGTACTCATGTATCTTCATACCCACCTAGCAGATGTTTAACAAGTATGCGTATGATACTTAACTATGATCAAGTTGTTTTCTGTGGGATTCAGCAAAAGTACAACTATTGACATATATTGGAGGTTTCTGTGAGGTCATTCTCAAGATATATTTTGAGATGTGATTAAGTCTTTAGTAATGTGAGAGGGATAGTGGTATAACAAAATGAATTAGAAATATTTCAGATCTCATTCTGCCTCACACTAGCTGTGTGACCTTGGGTAAGTCACATTCCTTCTTTAGGCTTCAGTTTCCTCATTTGACATGATAACGTTGGACTAAATGATCATTTTTTTTTCTTTTTTGGTGAGGCAATTGGGGTTCAGTGACTTGCGTAGGGTCATATAGCTAGTAAGTGTCAAGTGTCTGAGGCCAGATTTGAACTCAGGTCCTCCTGAGTCCAAGGCTAAAGCTTTATCCACTGCGCCACCTAGATGCCCCTGAAATGTTTATCATCTTCCTTCCTTCCTTCCTTCCTTCCTTCCTTCCTTCCTTCCTTCCTTCCTTCCTTCCTTCCTTCCTTCCTTCCTTCCTTCCTTCCTTCCTTTCTTGCTTTCTTGCTTTCTCTTTCTTTCTTTTTGTTTGTTTCTTTCTTTCTGGTGAGGCAATCAAGGCTAAATGACTTGCCCAGGGTCACATAGCAAGTGTTAACTGTCTGAGGCTGGATTTGACCTCTGGTCCTCCTGACTCCAGGGCCAGTGCTCTATCCACTGCACCACCTAGCTGCCCCTCAAATGATCTTTATGATCCATTACTGTTCTGATATCTTCTGAATATAAATCATAATGCAGTTATTAGGGTAAAATGCAAGATAAACATTTGTGCTTTTTAAAGAATCTGTGCCTAGTGCAAGAAGGCATAACTAAATCTCTAGTTGTTTTTCTCTCTAAGACAAAACATAATCCAAAAGTGAGTTAGGTGTCAGTGTAAAGCAGCAGCTTCCCAGCCACAAAACAACGCAAATCATCATAAACTACTCGTTGTGTAATTGTTCTCCTTTGAAAATGTTAGGATAGCTAGAAAAATACAATGAGTATTTCAGGAAGGGGACTATTAGGAGGCATACAATGATGTTTTCATTGCACTGAAGATTATGATGTATAGTTACTTGACAACTGACATGTCACTTGCTGTACCTATGGTGCCAGCATTAGCTAATTGCCATTCTTTTAGGTACTCCATGGGTACCTTGCAGTGTGTGGATTTAACCAGGGAGTGTGGGACGACTATGAAGTTTCAGTATTCTCTGTTTTTGTTTTGGATGTTGCCTTTGATTTTATTTGCATTGGCTTTTCTGTATATATGTTGTGGTATAACAGTATAACAACTCCAATAGAATATAAGCTGAGAGTTTTATTTTTTTGTCTTTTTATCCTAAATAGCTAGTACAATGCGTTGTCCATAGCATGTAATCAGTGACTGTTCAATTTAATTGAATTGAGTTGAAATGCCAGTAGGGTAAGAAATTCATGTGGAGACTTGAGTTTTTTGTTTTGTTTTGTTTTGGTATTTTCAGCACTCAGCTATAAGTAGGGGTTGGAGGAGTGGATGTAAGAATCCAACCACACATGACTCATCTCCTGGTCTGAGTCCCCTAAATGGCTGAGGAGCCAGAGCTCTGTGAATACACTAAAGTCCTAGGCTCTCTTACTTCTGAGCTTTAGTGCGTAAGAATGATTCTTGGTGGTGTCTGGAGAGTCAAGTAGGGTATCTCCTATTCAGTTGCAAACTGTGAATAGATCCTGCCCAAGTAAGCCAATATCTAGGACACAGCAGCCTTGCTTTTGTATCTTTGGTACATAGCCTTGTGAGAACTCAAGAAGGCTGGAGGCCTGCTGTCATAGCAGCAACAACTCGCACCTTTGAGTAGCAGTTGCAGATGATAGGGAAATGTTCTTTTATCAAATATTTCAAATGCTGCTAGGAAAAAGAGTGTTTAAGTAGTGGCATGAGGGGGCTATTACAATTGGAAGAATAAGCATCAGAAAGAAAGAAACCAAGAGAAAGAAGATTGGGAGTAGCATTTGTACTTAGTAGAGGTAAAAGGTGAAATAGCTATTTAGAAGCCTTACAAAAACCATATTATGTGCCAATAAGTCTTGAACACTAGCCTTTCAACTGATATGCTAATAGTGGTAAGTTATTGAATTCTGATCTAACCATTCTAAAGTGCAAGTTATGATTTCTTTGTGCTTACCATTTCCTTTTCTTTGTGGGAATAAAGGATCTGTTCCGTACTCAATTCATATTTGAATGTTGGGTATTAAAAAAAATAGTTTTCCTTCTTTTTGGGAGAAACTCAATTTTCCTTCTGTCTCCTCATCATGGAATGGAGATCACAAAATGGAGATTATGCCAACAAAGGTGGAAGGAGATAGTAAGAAGTAGACAGTTCTAAGACTTACAATCATTAATACTGGACAGTTGGTATTCTTAATGTCCTACCTTTGGCCAATGTCAAATGAGTGGATGTTTTGTTGGAGGAAATAAATAACTTCTATTTCGACATTTTTGGTTTAAATGAAACAAGAAGACGCAAAAAAGATTTCAGTTAAATAAAAAGGCAGCTCACAGATTCTCCTTAGAAAGGTGAATAAAGCCATTGGTTTTATTGCATACCCAAAGACAATAACTAACATAATTTCATGAGACATTTGTTCATCTTGTCTTGCAATCTCCAAAATCAGTGAAAGTAAAGATCACCATGGTTATTAGAGACTATGCAACATGTGTTGAAGGGGGTGAAATAATTGCAAAATCTATGAAAATCTTGACAAGATCCTCAGCATTTACGCTACCATTTGGTAATGTCAGTGGGAAGATAGCACAAGGGAAGATGACAAAGGTTATCATGAAAATATGGTTGGGGATGAAGAAACGAAAAAGGTCCAAAGCTTCTACAGTATTTGTCGTCTCACAACTGTATACCATGGATCCTTTCTTCAACAATTCAGGACAAACTGAATTTAGGATTATAAAAAGAAAAATGATGATATGACATGGGAATCACTTTAGAATGAGCTATCTGGATATAGTCAGATCATACTTGGTTAGAACGAAGGCCCAAAACATGAACAAATTGGACAAAAAAAAACATAAGAAAAAACTACAATTCCATTCTTACCAAAGGTGTTCATTTATGTCATAAGGGATACCTTGTACAAAACTCAAACAAAAGACAGATTTCCTATTGAAAGAAAGATTATGAAGATGTCCCTGTTGGTGGATGACATTGCACTCATTATATTGAACACGATAGAGAATTCTTTAACACAGTTACACAAAAGATATAGTTCTAGCAATTCACACAGGAAAATTGAAATGGATGAAGAATGTGCATTGTATTATTATTACATACCAATTACAAGGATAACCCAGTAAGTTAGTCCAGTAGTACAGATATCTTGGACAGGCACTACAGATAATTCGAGGAGGTGTTGAGAACTGAAAAGATAGAGGACATCTGACTGGATCACGTTTGGAAAATACAGCATATAGCACTTTAAATGATCTCAAGCTGCTTGCTGCTACAAAAGTCTGTTCTTTGAACAAAAATAATTTAATAATAAAAATTTTAAAATTACTGTAGGAGAGAGGCAGCATTTTGTAATGGATAGAGTCATGGGATTGGAGATAAGAAGACCTAGTTTCAAATGTCTCTCTTGATGTTTACTAGCGGTGTGACCATGGAAAAGGCTATAAACTATAGACAGATTGTGATCTGAATCAGTGGTGGGGGTTGGGGAGAGTACACATATAAGGAGTGATCATAGAAATGAAATAACAGGACCTGGAAATATTAACTTATTCTTCCAGAGATATTATATGGTTTCAAATTATGGAACACTGGATTGCAACCTATACTAGTTGAGGAAATATCTACACTGATGATGGCTGTAGATCTGTTTGAGTGTCCTGGTACAAAGTATAGGTTGTCTATGGGGAGTAGCATAGTAGAAAGAATGCTTGAAAGTGTGATGTGTGTTCATATCCTGGCTTTCCTAGTTACTGCTTGCATGGTCTTGGGTTGTCAAGACAACAATGGCTTATCAAGGGCCTACATGATGACAAGTGCTGGGCATACAAAACAACAACAATAACAAAAAAACAAAAAGCAAAAACAGCCCCTATGTGCAACATGTAAACAATGTTGTATAAACAAAATGCAGTTTTCCCTTCCACGTTACAACTTTCCTCATCATGGTTTCTGATTTATCGTGGGTCAGCATAAGAACTTAAATGCAAATTTTGGGGGAGTTTTTGGAAGCCACAGATGGTGCATGAAGGCCTACAGATGACACAGAAAAAATATAGAAACTCAGAAATGCATAAAACATTATATATGTGTATATATAGTACTGTATAGTACCAACATATTTCATCTTTTAATATCATTATAATTCAGACTTCTTCTCTGGTATGAAGGGAAGGTCAAAATACTTTACAAAGATTTTCCAGATCACGGGTGTGTGCATATATATATATATGTGGGGGGGTACCATGCCCTGCAATGTGGAAGGAATAACTATATATATATTGGATAAATTAAATATAATCTCAAAGGGATGGCAATAGCAGTAAGCGGGACTGGGAAAGGCTTATTGTAGAAGATAGGGAAAGCTATGAGGCAGATAATTCCAGGCATAGGAGATAATGAATAAAAACACACCAAGTCAGGAGAGTGTCTTGTTTAAGGACAGCAAAGAGACAGATTGTGTCCATGGAAGAGAGTCAAATTTATGAAAATTAAAAAGGTAAGAAGGGTCTAGGTTATGAAGGGCTTTAAAAGGCAAACCAAATATTCTATATTTGATCCTGGAAGTAATAGGGAGCCACTGGAGCTGGTTAAATTGGAGGCAGGTGTATTCTTTAAGACGATCACTTTGACAGTCAAGTGGAAGATGGATTGAAGTGAGGGGAGACTTGAGGCAGGGACACCAACCAACAGACTATTGGTCCAAGCAAGCAACTTAATCTTTGTGGGCCTGAGTTTCTTCATCTATAAAATGATTGGCTCTAAATCTGTGATCCTATGAACATTTGCTGGGAACTTTTGAAGAAAGTCAAGAAAGGGTTTATGAAACAATATCATGTGCTGATTACTTTTGTCTTTATATCGTCAACACATAGCACAATATTTGGCACATACTAGGCATTCAGTAGATGTTTGTTGAATTTTATTGAAATGAAGAGTATGAAATCACTTGTTTTCTATCACATAATACCACACTTCATACAACGTGGATAACAGAGGGATAATAAAGCTTCCAATACTGTTTTTTTTACTCTATTTTTACCATATTAAAGTCATCCTTCATCAAACTATTTACTAAGACCCTTCAAAAATTTAATCCGCATGCACTTAAATACAGAGGCAGAACATTCAATAGACTATAAATATGGATAATTGTGTAGTATTGGTTTTCCATGTCTGATATTATGATACAAGATACTTTCATTTATATCACACTGGGAAGGAAAACCTTGTTTAAAGGTGTCACAGTTTGAAGCAACCTTCAGCACACTATTTAGCAAAGTCTTTTCCTTAAAGAAAAGATATTGCTTAATAATATTTATTATTCTCAGATCAAGGAGGTAAGTTTTCCTGAATGAATATGACTACTCTGTGTGTATATACAGTATGTGTGTAAAAGGAGGCCCTGTGACAAATTGTGGCAAGGGCTAACTTTTCAAGATGCCTTGAGGGACTTGTTATTGCTAAAATGTTAACAAAAACTGAAGGCTAAAAAAAGTAAGGCTTCAAATAACAACAACAACAGCTGTAATTTACATTATGTGGAGGGTTAAAATTTGCAAAGCTCTTGACACACACATCATCTCATTGGATCCTTACCATAATCCTTCAAAGGAATCTAAGAGCCACTGGTATAAATAAATCAAATTCATTGATGAAACTGAGAGTCAGTGGTAAAATGCCTTGCCCATAGTTAATTAGATAGCAGGATATATTCTTTCCAACCCTGCTACGTTATGTTTTCTTTTCAACGTATAGGTTTTTTTCAATGTACACACTTTTTCTCAAAGGAGCACCATTTTTATATTTTTGACTAATCCTATAAAATTCACATATGAGACAATATTTAAAACTAAAGTGAATGGCAGAGAGCTTGGCCTAAAATCAGGAAGAGCTAAGTTCAAATCTAATCTCAGACAATTAGAAGCTGTGTGACCCAGGGCAAGTCACTTAACCTCTGTTTACCTCAGTTTCCTCAACTATAAAATGAGGATAATATATCACCTACCTCCCAAACTTGTTGTGAGGATCAAATGAGATAGTATTTGTTAAGTGCCTGGCACATAGTAGATGCTATATAAATCTTAGCTGTTGTTATTATTTTTTAATAAAAGAAAGGTAGTATATTCTGATTCTGCGTAATGCCAGTCCATTTTGCCCAATTATATTTATGTACCTGAATGGGACCTTGGTAATGAGGATTTATAGAAATCAATACTTTTTCATCCTAGTTCGGTTCTGGTAAGTTTAGGTATGATGAAAACATTTTCAAGTTTCAGATTTTAACTTTTATGGTTACGTTAAAATATGTTTTGGTATTATATATTATACGTTTAAACTGTTTCATATAACATTTTATAATTCTATAATTCATTAATTTAGCTGATTATTTAGCAAGAATGATGTGTAATCACATACAGTACTGTCTATTCACTCACAAAGATTCTAAATTAACACTTTCATTGCTACTTATGTGCCTTATTCTAGGCAAAATTACTGACTACATTCTCACCTCTAATCTCAGTTCTCCACTTCCCATCTTCTTTGACTTGAAAATGTGGGTAATTTTGAATCAGATTCACCTAATGCAGAAATTTTTCTTTGCAAAGAAATTAATATTTCTAAAATACAGAGGCAACACAAAAAGAACACTTGACCAGGAGTTCTAATTTTGACTCTTACTAATTACTGGGTTCATCTTAGGCAAGTTATTTAATCTTTCAGGGCTTTGGTTTCCTCTGATTTAAAATGTGTGATTTTCTCTGGGAGCCAAGATGCTGGAGTAAGCAATATCTCTCCCTTATTGACCTCTAAAAACCCAGAAAATATCATCCCAGGAAAAATTCTGGAACAGTGGAGTCAGCAGAAAGATGGGGTGCAGCAGTCTTTTAGCCCAAGAGGCTTGGGGGATTAATAGGAAAGATCCCTCTTATTCTGGCAGAGGGGGAGCAGTACAGGATCAGGTGGTGTCCCTGCAAGTCAGGGGCAAGCCCCACCTCAGAAAATCAGCAGGAGATCCTGAGCCCCAGGGTGTTGAAGCAGGCAAGCACCACCAACAACAGGATGCTCCTACCCCGCATGCCTTGGCACAGCCAGGGGAACTTGCAGACTCTAGCTCGGAGAACCACTATGTGTGCCGGTAGGCAGGTGTCCTCCAGCAGCTGAACCTTGCTGTGCTTCAGCACAGCCCCAGTGAGCTAACACACTCCAATAGCCAGACAACCCCTGCTACACCCCTCAGAGCTTCAGCATAGACCCTGGGAAACACAGAAAAACCCCATCTGGCCTAAGCACATGCCAGCCACCACCACTAGGACCCCAGCTCAGCACCACATAAGCTGCCGGACCCCTGCAGCCTCCAGCTGCCAGCCCTTGAGGCTCCAAAGCACAAAGCCAGTGACCATACCCCTGGCTCCTAGCACAATAAGCTTGTGACAGTGCCCCCTGAGCTCCAGCAGGATAGCTCGACTTTAAAAAACAGGAAATAGCCAAACAGCATGAGCAAAAAGCAGAAACAGACACTGATCATAGATTTTTTTTCCATGGGGGCAGAGAAGATAAAAACACAAATTCAAAAGAGGACAAAATTGTCAATATACCTACATCCAACACCTCAAAAGGGAATATGAACTGGTCTCAAGCCCAAAAAGCCTTCTTGGAAGAGCTCCAGAAGAATTTTAAAAGTCAAATAAGAAAGGTAGAAGAAAGATTGGGGAACGAAACGAGAGGTATGCAAGAGAGAGTCAACACCTTGGAAAAGGAAGGACAAACATTCACTGCACAAAACAATTCCTTAAAAAATACAATTGGCCAAATAGAAAAGAGTTCACTGAAGAAAACAACTCCTTAAAAAGTAGAACTGGCCTAATGGAAAAGGAGATACAAAAACTAACTAAAGAAAACAATTGGTTAAAAATTGGAATTAAGCAAGTGGAAGCTAATGATTCTATGAGACATTAAGAATCAGTCAAACAGAATCAAAAGAATGAAAAAATAGAAGAAAATGTAAAATACCTCATTGGAGAAACAACTGACTAAGAAAATAGATCCAGGAGAGATAATTTGGGAATTATTAGTCTATCTGAAAGACATGATCAATAAAAGAGCCTGGACAGCATCTTACAAGAAATTATCAAGTAAACTGCCCTGAGGTCCTAGAACTAGAGGGTAATTGTCACTGAAAAAAATC